CAAACCGTGGGCGCCCTTTCGCAATCGTGCCGACTTTGAATATGCGGAAACAGCTGTCAAGGGATTATTAAGTAAAGCAATAGTAAACACACAGTTATATGGGATACATCATGGATGGGCAGATAATACTAACATTACATTTCGGAACTATGCAGACATCGAGAAGACTTTACAAGTAGCACGTGCGCAATATGTCCAGGTGGGCAAAGACGACCCTCAAAATCGATTCTTCTAACCTTTCTTTCAGTTTCAAGAAGGAAATGTTTCTGCATGTTATCTAGGAGAAACTCTCATTACTTCAAGTTTCAGTACCGAGATCCGTGGAAAATCTATCGCAACTGGATTATGGATGAGACATTAGCGCCTCTCATCCTTTGGCATCCTTGCCGCAAATATTATTGCCGTCGAAATGGTAGGATAGTCTTGAAAGAACGCATATACGACGAGTTCAATTCAGCCAACAAATGGTGGGACGTACAGGTAAATATATAGTATATACATTTACATGCTTTCTGATGTGGATTAATTTGAATGCAGGAATCCTTTCCACAAGAAGAACCACCGCATTGCTTTCTACCGATCTCTCTCTGGCTTGACAAAGGCAACATCACTAAGCGGGTCAAGAAGCACCCTATAATTATTCGTCCGCTATTTTTGCCGCGGGGGGTAAGAAATGCGTTGGGAAATGGAGGAGGTGTTCTTGTAGGGTATATGCCCATTGTAAGCGTTTTTTCTGCTACACAGGGGCTTCTTATTGCATTGTTTTTACAGCCTTTGGACCCGGCCGACCCATCTGACAGAAACACTGCTGATACCATTAAATGGCAGTGCTTCAAGCGTGAAGTTTACCACAAGGTTGCCGAAGTAATATTCCACTCACTACGATGGCCTGCACGCTTCGGAGAAGCAATGGCCTGTGGTGACAAAATTGATAGAGTGATACATCCAGGAATACCAGTCAAGTCTGTTGATGGCGAAGAAAGCTGTGCGCTAACAGCTACGCGTGCGGCCCTGGCCAAATTTCCATGCCCGAAATGTCTTGTCTGCCATGACAGTTTAACGAAACTATGCGGAAATTTTCAGTGTCGCACAACTGACAACATGGAGAAGGTGTACAAGCGTTCAATCACAGCATCAAATAAAACGGAGGCTGAACGAATCTTACAAGCCCACGGATTACATGCAACCAAGGTTTTCTCCCCGTATTTTTTTTATCTTCCACTCACTAGCTTTTTACAGAACTTTTTTTGGTCACTCGACCACTCAGACCCATATTGTTCCATTTCATACGATAAATTACACTCCGATGATCTAGGAAAATGGGGTAAGCACATCTGGCCGCTCCTCCTCACAGTGTTAGCAGAAAACGGAAACAAAGGCCATATGGCCAGAAAGTAAGTTTCAACTACACGTCAAACTTGACGTCTCACTAAAACTCGGGATATATAGCATGCGGAATGTATCAAGATGGCCTGGACTCAAACACTTCATGAACGTCACCACAGTCGAATATGCGGATGGTCAAGTGTTTTATGATATACTCAAGGTGCATAGTCCTTAATACATTATTTATTAGCGCTATACACTGACTTTTCTGTTCTTCTAGTGCATCCTCCCATGCATCGTCCAAATTCTCCCTAGGAACTCAACATTAGTACATGGTATCCGAGCCTATGCTAGATATCGGCTCATGATTGGCCTCAATTGTATGACCGAAGGGAGGACACACCGGCTAAAACAATATATTATTCAATATGAACAATGTTGTGAAGTGAGTAACGGTTCTACATGTGTCTTGATTGTTTTCTAATGGTTCTTATAATACAGCACATTTCAAACAATTACGAGAAGGACTTCCACTTTAGCAAGCAACACGCCATAAATCATATTCTCACAGAAATCCGGCAGAAGGGTGCAACGGATAACTACGACACACGAGTCAGCGAGGGCTTTCACCAAGAGGCGCAAGAAGCCTACGAGCAGACAAACCGGAAAGATACAGACAGCCAGGTAAGCAAACATATTTATGTGTACCAAAAGCCCGATGTTCAGTTTCCACAGATGGCTCGCATTGACGAGAACCAAGAAGCCATCGCCCACATACGGATGACCGTCGACAACTATGATAAAGCCCACCATAACGACACTGAGGACCAAGACTTAGGAGATGACGCTGGCAGAAATGATGACCAGAGGTCGACACAACCTACCCCCGATAACCACTGGATGCTAGGATCTCCCACAAACCTGACAAGCTCGGTAGTCATGGAGCATTGCGAGGGCCTCAAAGGATTTGACAAGCGTCTGCGGAGTTTTTTAGTCTCAAGTTGCAATGTAACCGTTGGAGATGGTCCCATCTCAGTAAGCTGATATTAGATATACTTTACAGCTCTAACATTGTTCTATGTTCCACAGATCAGGAAATATCAATGCATTTATCTTAAGTATCAATCACACGAAGACTGGAGCGAAGGACGGGACATCCTTCGCTGCAACCCCAACTTCAATAAAGAATCACGCTTCGACTGTGTTCTCATTAACACAGACACATCGGAGCCAGTTCCTGCTCAACTCCAAACCGTCTTTCGATGTTTCCTTCAGTCCTCTTCGTTTGATATTGTGTCGGTCAAGATATTCAAGCCATCAAATGGAATTCCGAGGACCAGATGGTCGGGGGCACTTTTGTATGATGAAGCGAGAGATTTCAAGCTGGTCATGGCTAAGTCCCTGATTCGGGGAGCTCATATGATCGAGGCTTTTGATCTGAAGGAAGGCCGGTTTTATTTAAATGACTTGATTGATGGTGATATGTTCCTACGTTTCGGGAACTGACAACTAGACTGCTTTTATTGTTAACTACCACTAGTAAAATCTCAGGTGTCACATTTTGAACCGTTGAGCTAAGTCTGTCTGATGGCATCTATTTCAACCCATACATGCTCTCTTTTGATCTGGTCATGTCTGGTCAGAGAATATCTGTCGCTCGTATCCCTCTTACCCCAGCTAATCCGCCTGATCGTTTTCTGTCCCAGTTCCGATATGTTTCTCATCAGACACAATCTGTGTCTCTTATCTTCTTATCCCAGCTGATCCGCCTGATTATAGTCTGTTCTATTTCTGATCCGATTCTGATCACCAACGGCTCAGATCATCAGGTGGCCCAGGTAAGTTACAGACATTCGTAGGGTCTGATCTGGTTAAACGGATTTTTCCGACAACCCATGTTAACAGGTAAATCCTCAAAGATCAGATTGGAATCAGACTTGCCGTTATCATACTCTTGCATCAATCAGTAACCTTCCATGGACAGGCAGGAAGAGTTGAATATTCTCTGAATGGCAAATTCGTACACGTTAAAAGTCCTCTTGCTTTTTTCCTTCGTCTCTTTCTAGGCCCCAACTCTCGTATTCAACGCGACCTTATCCTCGTACATTCAACATGCGTCTCTCTATATTGATTATGTTCGTACTCTCCTACGCGATTAATGTTGGCTTCGCTACTATCATTTCCACTGCTCGCAATTCTGCTTCACGCTTCCCACAAAACGATCAATGCTCTGAGTTAGGCCAGCCTTGCAATGAGGACCATCCTTGTTGCCAATCCCTCCTGTGTTTACTGGCTAATATTCCCGGCGTTTCAGTAAGGAGTACTCAGCGCTTTACTTCTTCATAGCTGATCACGCTTGTTCACCTTAGAATGAGTGTATCCCGCAGTTGTCAGCTTCAACTAGTTAATTATAAGCCGCACACTGCAAACTTTGGAAGGTTTATACATGGTACTAGCTGCACTTTGACATTGTCAGCACAACTCTATTGAACCAGACTTTGCAAAGAGGGCCAGCTGACGACAACAAGATGTAGCTTTCTTGATTAGCATGCATTATCATGCCCCACGTACATATATGCTGTATATGTGTGATCTCTCCCAATCATATCCTCGACAGTCTTGTCTTCATCAACTGTGCTTCTGTTACAACGTAGTTGCAAACATGTGCCGACGTGGATTCGCAGAGCGTGAGTAGTATGAAGTCCTCAGTTGTGGACCTAAGTGATTGATGGATAATCATATAGTGAAGCGGCGCCCTAGGAGTTGCATAGTCGATTTGATATGCTAATGTCGTATCCATATCTACATGACGGCTCGCGACCTATAGTTGGATGATCATTTGTCCCGCCTTCCATGGCGTATCACCTGGAGAATACCTGAAACTCATTGATAGAAGACGCTCGACTGATGGTGACTCCAAGTACAGTGCGTGCTCCGAACAGAATAAGGCCAGTATGTATCCAACATAGAGTCGCTTCTGAGCTGCTCTCTCACGTCGAATCCTTTAGTTCCGGCAAAAATGTCTGTCTTAAATTCTCAACAGCAAACATTCCAGGCTATAAATGACATATACACGTCTTCCCTGAAGTCTCCAGCTCCCTCATCTTCAATAACAACTTTCCTATCCTAACTTCAGTATGCGCCTCCTCATCTCTGCTGTTATCGTCGCAATCCTATGCACTACATACGCTGGCTGTCTAGATACTGCCCCTGGTATCGGTGGTCCATTATCAGATTCCATCGCTGTTCCAGCTGATTGCAGAAAACCTGGGATTTGTCAAACGAACCATGACTGTTGTCCTGGAGCAAAGTGTATACCGGACCGCCATGACCCTGTAAGGAACCAGCATTATTTGGTAGTTCATGCACTAACAGGACCTCGTGAATCGCCTAGCCTGCTAAGAGGTGTAGTTAGTAGTATCGAAGCCGTTGTTTATTCAAGCCCCGAGGTACGAGTTGATTTTTACACAACACCGATATAGCCACTTAATGACTATAGGCTTGATCGAAGTAGAAAGTACTGATATGACGATGAAACGAGTTTCCAAACTTTGCTGTGTTCTGTATTCGATATGCTAGGCTTCACTAAAATTTCGCATCTCAATGCAGAATGCACTGTTCGATGAGGAAAACATATACCTAATTTGCGCAATTGGGCTCGCAACTCTTCAACCAAGCTTACATCCCCAAGCTGCGAGTCGTTGTGGTGTCGAAGAATCTCTCTTTGTTTTACCCGAAAATTGACTCGAGAAACGGGTTGTACAATTGTGAGGTGTAAAGTACTTCCGTTACAGGGGTAGCCCTAAACAGGCAACTGTTGTTGGGCTCGATAAGTCCGAACTCAAAACTCAGCGCAAGTTACATTCAGATTTGCTAGTGCCACACCTGCTAATTCCGTTGAAGTCTTTCCACTAGTGGTGTATTTTATACGATCATGACAGCAAACACATCACATTTCCTACATCGTACTTTCTGACAGGTTGACACTTTAGTTTTCTATTTTTCATTTTTCCTGGTGGCGAGTCCTCCTGTGCTGTCTTGCCCTACTTCAACATTCTGTCGAATTTGAGGCCCACTTAGCAACTAATCCGAACTTGTATTTACAAACCTTCAAGTCAGCATTCTATTGTGTGAGTCGTGTTTATTAATTGGTGCTACGATTCTATCTAACCAGACTCTCTTCAAGGACTACTAGTAGGAGGGACACCGCTGGCGTCGATGAGAAGTGACATTCGTGCTTATATCCATTGTACGGTATCATCTAGCTTCCAGATTATGACCTAAATTGTCAAGCATTACTCGCGCCAGATGTGCCTCCTGTTCTTGGCACACTAGACGGCGAACTCAGAAATGAAAGTAGCCTGAGTCACTTCCATCACATTTGACAGGAAGTCCGAGTGCACCGGAGCCTCCACACTGGTATACAGTTACAGTAGTGACTTTCCAGATAACCCGCTGCGGATGTGCCTCGTACAGTTTACATCAGACAAATGCCAACCTGTCACTATTCATGGGTAGGAGTGGTCATTTAGATCGCACGGTCCTAGACTATAAAGAGCCTCCTTTTCCCCTAACTCTTCCTTCATCCTCAGCAGCGGCCTTCTCCATAGGTTCATCATGCTTCGCTTATTCTCTATTGCCATTATTACTCTCTTCTCTACGGTTGCTCTGCATGCTCCTATTGCCAATGCAACTCCTGCTGTTTATGATCCACCTACAAACCACGTTATTGGTAGACAGGCGGAACCTACTTGCGGTGGAATGGGTGCATTCTGTTCTCAGGACTCTGATTGTTGCGCCGGCTACTTTTGTGCTTATGCTTCCGGTTTTGGTGCTTCTGTAAGGATTTTATATTACTGCAAATTGGTGAATGGCTTACCTGTCCCTTCTAGAGTCTATGTATCCCTTATTCATAAGCTGGAAAACTTGATTGGTAGTGGTATGTGCAGGGTATGACCCTTACCCATTGACGAATTTCTGTTCTATCCGATCAGACGATTCGAAGTTTATAGGTCATGGCGTTGCGAATGTAGTCTTCTGTGCGTCTTGTGAAATGTGCACACAGGTATACTCCATTTGCATTGGGAGATCCACTGTGTATTCCACCCTGGCAATGTGCACGCCACCCTCGAGGTTCGCGATCCAGCTCCTGACTCTGTTGCTGTCCCAGCAGACTGTATAAAGCGAGTGCTTTGTCAAACGGCCAAGGACTGCTGCCCTGGGGCTAAATGTGTGCGCCAAACTAGGTACCATTTACTAATACCTGACATGTGTACATTGACTAGTATTTGCAAGTATGCAATTAGTAGCGAAGGCTGATGCTCTCACCGGTCCCAAACGTCTCCTAACCATAGTATGATTGATTATCAGACATTGATACGGCTTTCACTTACGAACTTAAATAGACCCGATTCGGGGTGGTTAGCTTTTCACGACAACAGACAATGAGACAACCCCCTGTTTGAACTATACACCGCATTCAATGCTGTTCTTCTTTTGAGTCCTCTCTCCAAAGATTGTAAGAATTAAGATAATTCAAGTCGCATGGTCCCAACATGAGCCATCGAAATCGAGGTGTGGTGTAAACGCAAAACAGAGTCCAGTAGATGAAGTTGAAAATGCCACGAATGCACTCAAGAGGTGCCCATCCAATCACGACAGTCAAGGTCAACCGTACATTGCAATTTGTTCCTCCTACCATATATGTTTCAACTGCGCTATAACCTTTCCGTCAGATCCCGATATCCTATGCATAAATGCAGGCTCATGAAATGTACAGAGTTCTTCCTTACCTGCGAATTATACGTACATAGAAGAACGTACCTAAAAGAGAACTTTGTCCAAGTGTTGTTACTAGCGGACAAAGGTTGAAATAGTATAGGAGTGTCATCCAGACAACTAGGTGATACCACTCACATTCTACAGTTTATGGTTTCGATTCTGGTCGCAGATTATAACTTGAACTTCTGCACTCGCTTGTTGAGTATTTCTATTACGATGGTTTCCGTAAAGCAAAGTTCGAAGGTGAGTTTTAGTTTGGGCAAAATACTGATCAGGCTACTCAAGTACTCAATATTCAATACGTGCCACTGTTCAATCAGAATGGAAGACCTTTAGAGCATGATGAGGTACTGCGTCACACTAGAAGCTTCCATTATCCACGTATAAATACTTACAAGCAATGCAGAATTGCTACAGCATTTCAGTCTCTTCCTTTCCACCTGTCTACAACGTTTGTCTCAGTCATGCGTCACGGTCTTCTAACTTTCGCTCTCTTCACTGCTCTCTTCTATACCTTTGCTACTGCTACCACCGCGTACACCTTTGATGCTGATATCACTGCGGCAGATGATTCTCCAGCTATGGGTTTGGAGGATCAATGCATCAAGTCGGGGCAGCCGTGCATAGTACCCAGCGACGACCGGTGTTGCGAGGACTTGATTTGCACATCCCCCGGTGAAGGGAGCATAGTTGTAAGTCTGGTGTTAGTCTACTTTGGTTCATTCCCTTGACGATTCGTACTCTGTCACGGTGTTTCTAAGGACCAGTGCCTTCCGCCACCAGCCTAAAGCTACACACCGAGAGTTCAGCGAACGCCAGAGTTGCATGAAGGTACGGACGCTTATAAAGCACAACGTTTCAGTGTTGGTTTTGAGCAAGGTTTTTGGAATAGATGCAAAAGTTGACAGTCAGAGTGTTATATGTCCCAGTGTAATGAATTACAAACAGGGATGGCAAGGTTATCATGGGCATACCCAACATGTCAAATCCTTTCCACACATGCTGAAAATGAGGATTTACACATCCTGTCCGACTGTGGCTTGCATGAACCCATTGACCCCGGACAACTCGTTGTCAGATGGTAGTACCACTTCCTCATGATATCGATGTCATCTCTTGAGATAGCAGCTTCTGTTTTGCTTGCCGACTATTTTATATGCAGCCCTGATGCGGGACCCAATGTGATTGACACAGCGCCGCGATCCAGTCGCTTTCGTGACTGGGCACGTCTGATCGTTCTAACTTCGTAGGAATCTATCAACCTGTCCTAGAGTCCTTCATGCCTGACTACTGTCTGGAATTTTTTTGCCTAGTCCAGATGGTATCACCAAGCTCATTGCCTTCGATGCGGGTGGACTCACTGGCAGCATACTGATCCGAGCTTGTTCGGAGGTTTAAGACCGCTCACAGTAAAGTTTCAGGGTCTTGATATGGTATGCTGTCATAAAGTCGAACAATATGTGGAGTTTTGAATGATCGCCTGGCGTTTGATGGGTTCATCCTGCGCTTTAGTCTAGGTGTACGCAAACGAAGGTGACATTAGACCGCTCGGACCCTTGCTCGGATCTCCAACGTCAACCACGGCATCGCCTCGTTCGAAACTATATAAACACTGCACATACCAGGTGTCTCTCAACATCCCCACTCTTCATTGACGCGTTTATCTTCACCATGAAGATCTTTGCTTTTGCTGCTACTGTCGCGTCTATACTTGCTCCTGTCATTGCTCAAACTATTGATATAGGGTATCCCACCGATGGGACGGTATTCAACCCGGGTCAAAGCGTCAACGCCCAGATATTACGTCCCGTAAGTCGTTCAATATTTTCTTCCCTTGCAAATCTAACAACTATATTCGCAGGACTCGATTATAGGCTGCACAGAAGTTGGGATCGCTCTCGCAATAGACACATGCTCTAACGGCACATGTCCATCACCCTCGGACGTCCTGGGATCCGTTCTTTACAGCGGCCCATTCAAGCCCACCGCTCATGCACAGCAGGGATTTTATCAGAACTTCACAGTTCAGATCCCGAGCGGTTTGAACGCAGGCGAGGCTATTTTTACGCTGACGCATCTTTGTCTCTTAGGGGTATGTATCAATGTGCCATCTCGTTGCAGCAATAACTTGAACTCACCTTGATGAAAAGGCTGGACCAACTCCTCTATTAGAGTATAGGAATGCTTCTGTTACTATCTCGTAGTGCACCTCTCGGTAGTATAGGACTGCATGAATCATTCACCTACTGAAATCACACCAGGCACGTGTAGCGTGTTTAAAGCAATATGCAGAGTATCTTGAAGGCATCCCTCCGTAGAAGAAGAAAAGTGGTTATGGACTTGAGTATCAATATCATTCCCACTCCATGTCGTGTCCTTGCCTTTCTTTACTTGCAACTCCTAAGTCCTCACCTTGTGCTCACAGAACCGATGATGAACTTGCGTGACTTACAAATGGTTTGGCTCCAAAAATAAAGATGTCGGGAGCATTGAGTGGCATAGAGTTTTACTTTAAATCTCTTGTTACTTTTGGTATTCACCCCCCAATAATGTTCGTGTGGAAGTTGTTGTAGCGATTGCTTGACATTAGGTAGTGATATTCGTCGGTAGTATACAGATCTTGAAGTCATGGAAACATGAGGCAAACTAGTAGCCGATATAACAGAAGGGGAGGTAAACGGTTTCAATAACATTGTGTAAAGAACAGAAAAAATGCAAAAGAAAAAGAAAACCCATACACAGCCGGGCACCGCAAGAATAGTGAGTACCATTATGGTGCGTTTTCTTCACCAATGAGAATTTTGACCATGAAGTAAGCGTCGAAGGTGCCGCGATTCGGGTCGAATGGTATGGTGCCGACCATGTCCTGGGCATTAGAGTGTCATGGCCTAAATGATGTAGACAAATACAACTTTGACGTACCCGTATTTGATATGCTTCAGCCAGGTGTACGTCTAGCTCGTGTAGTGCAACTCTCGCCTCCTCATCGTCGCCAATTTGCACAAAGACGATATTAAACATGTTACCTGCAACTTGAGCTCTTTCCAGGCGCTGCGCGGCTTCCACAATGCTCCTCGGGAAGTCCTCTTGATCAGCTATATATATGATAATCAATACTCTGAGGCACGCTAACGAAGGCAGAGACTCACTTGCTGCCCCGTCAGTAATCACTACAATCCTAATGGGTTCTTGTTGGATATTTTTACGCTCGACAAATGGTAGATAGAAATTGATGATCTCATCCAATTTTGAAGCAGTTGGCGTATCTTCTCCTTTTATATGACGATGGTGAGTTAACATACTTTTCTTGATGGTAGGTCAAACGAACCTTCCGGTGCCACCGAGTTGAATAAACCCTCGATATCGCGCCTTGTCTTGATATTTGTGGGATCAGGAAAAACAAAAACGTGGTTGTGGGGAGGCAAAAATAATTACCTTCAAATTCGGGTTGTATCCAGAGCTATGGAGGAAGAAGAGATCAATTCCTTTGGAACCGTGTTGCGCAGCCAAGTCAGCTACACCAGCCAGGGCTTCGCGAGCTTGTTCCCATAACCCTCCTCCCATCTGAACGTCATAACAATGATTAGTTACGGAGGTTGAGTGGATTAGTAAAGCTGATGCATACAGATAAGGAGTCGTCAACAAGGATGACGGTTTTTATTTCTCTAGAGTTTTATATAAAGGTGATCAGACTGCGACAAATATCAGTTATCAAATTATACGAACGCCAGTCGTTTATATGAATTTCTCTCTGGAGGTGGGGTGACCACGGCACCATCAGGGATCACTCGAGGAATATCTGCATAGCCTAAGGACCCCTTCTGCGAAAGGACTACAGAACCTGGTGGTAGAAGGTTGAAATTTTCCTGCTGTGGAAGGCCCCATCGGAGCTGAGATGTGCACACCAACACTTCATAATTAGAAACCTTGAGTGCATTTACATCAGCTTGGTGTTACGAAGGCTAAGGCTAATAACATATTTACCGTAATTTCACGGCCCCCAAAGTTAATGAGCGCACCTCCTGATAGATGCCGAGCAGCTTTGCCTAAGTCTACAACATACAGAAAAACTTAGGATGTTGTCCACGAGAAGGCGATAGAATATTCCTCACGAAGTCCACCCTAGAAACCAGAGATGTGAGAATCAGCACAGTACAAGCAAAAGGACGCACACACTTCAAGGAGTGCTCGGGCAATAAAAAGGGGACCCTGGGATTCCTCTTCGAACGCGATTGCATTTGGGGGGATGTAATTGTTCTCCACCAAAACCTGAAATCTATGAAGTCGGGGCTAATCAGACAATAATAATAATCAAGACTAACCCAAACCAAAGGAACAGGAGAACCGTGCTTCTTGAAGTACGCAGTGCTCTCTCTTGCTTCTTTCAGCCATTGGTTCTTTTGTTTGTTCTGATGATGGGGGCGTTCTTGTTCTGGCGCAGAGAGCTTCGAACGGCTCCTCACTGAAGGACTCCTAGACATAGGCAGAGCCGATACACTTGATCGAGCTTTCAAAGAAGGGCTTCCAGAGTACGGCTGGGCCTGAACTGTAGAGTAGTTCGAGCGGGCATCTTGGCCTGGGCTCCCGGGCACAGACTGTAAAGCAGACAGATCTGCGCGAACCTCCAGAGCAGGACTCCTGGGAAGAGGTTGGAAAGAACTGCGACCTCCAAAAGCAGGGCTTCTGGGGAGAGGAACTTGCGTCCACGAAGCCTTCCTATCTGGACTGGGGCGAAGAGACCTAACAGATCCTGACTGAGACATGGTGAATTAGATTATAGGGCCACGAAGGCCTGGGGGGTCTTATATCGGGAGACACGCAGCACGATTGCATAGGGTATTGATATTCTCAACTTCTCTCCCAAAATTATCGCCAACCGTGCACTGCACGCTGTTGGCCACCAAACATATGATCGAGATCACGAAGCAAAGATCATCGTGCAATGGGGAGGGTTAGTGCAGTAGAACTGATACACATGCTCACACCTCTGTTATGATACAAATACAGCCACCAACCTAGAAAAGGGATAAAAAGGGATAAAAACAGATCAAACATTGCTGCAGACGAGCCAGATGGAATCAGCCTTCCGCTCACAAAGTTTGTACACGTGGAAGGCACATGCCTGTACCTTGCATCCTACAAGGTAAAGTAAAATCCTTAGTACCTCTATTCAATGAGGTGGAAGATTACCTGAAGCGCTGAGATGAAACGCGGTAGGATCGCGCATGGAAGTCTCTTCACATTGCGCAGTTTAAGAAGTCAGCGTGGTGATTCGTAAGAACTTCCTCGGTGAAATTACTGTTAGACGGAGCTGAGCAACCATGCTGACACTTGTTAGAACCACCTCGAGGCATCGATAAGGGTAGGATAAGGATAATCAGAGATCGTATCTTCCGTGCTATAGGGCATCGTCATATATGATATCCCCCTTTCCTATGACACTATGGGGCATTGTGATTGATGGTGCATGGAGGTGGCTTCGTTAACAGGAGGCACTCGAGACAATGCACTATAGCACTGATCGCGATCAAACGCCCATAACATCGCCAAAAAGGAGAGACAGTCATGATGATAGGATAATCATTGAAACGGGTTCCAACAGCAAATCAGGGATACTCTACGAATCCCTCGCGGTATGCAAATTTTGATGAGCATAAGGCTGCAACGCATCTGATATGGTGGAAAAGCAGCCAGAACAATTCGACGTTGGGAGCCCTGAGTAGAGAGAGCCAGCTCTTTCCACGATAAGCGAGATTCCATATCACATGGGCGGCCAACAAGTAACGACAGGGGTGGAAAGAACAAAGAAAGATGGGCCTCTGCGCAAGTTGGAATCTGATCAGGAGCATGACATTAGAAAGGGAGATTCTATGCTAAGGGTTTCAAAAAAGGCATTCCTTGCCTTGACTCGTGCCGCACATCCAGCTTGCGTGAAACTTGTCGTTGACCGCAGTACACATCAGTCTACGATCCAAACACACTGATAACATATATGACAGCACATGGTAGGAAACATCCCGTACATGGAGTCTACTAGTTCCGTGAGCTATCGAAGAAGTGTTTGAGAGAGAGAAGGAACAAGACCTTACTTTGAACTGGAATTCCAAATTTCAGCTAATCATGGAATAGATCTACCCATGATTTCCATTGATATTAAAGACTTGTGACTCTGACCGACTTACCTGGGAACGTTGTAACGCCCGTCGAAAATAGGACAACTCTAGATGACAGGATTTTACTACCAAAGTGAAAGGCCATCCAAGATTGGTGAAAACGATATTGAGCTACCCCGACGTTCTACTTTTGACTTCCCGTGGGAGGCTTATTAGCGAATGTCAATATCGACCAGAAATTTGTTGATGTGAACTGGTAGAAAATAAAAGTATAAGCATATAACCGGGGTACCATAGAGGTATCGACCAGATACTTGTTGATGTGAACTGGTAGAAAGTAAAACTATAAGCATATAACCGATATATCAGAGATACAGGGTACATTATAGCTCCAGAACAAGTCAAGGTAACAACTGAGCGCTGAGCTCGAATGATGCTTTTCGGAGTTCAAACTGCTCCGGTTCTACCAACTTTGCAGTGAAAGACATATGGTCGCAATGCAGTAACAAGGTATTGACGAGTACAGATGTTGGGGAAAATACGTGGCATATATATACGAATACATAGGGAAGAAAGATCGTTGTATACTTTAAAAAAAACTGCAGCAACGGATCTACCCCACCTAATTTATCACTTTCAACTACGATCCCCATTAACAAGACTTTTCTCAGCTTCGTATTGAAGAGAAGGGTCGTTCGTTACATCCTTGTGAATGCAACCATTCTATAGACAACATATGTTATTCGCTAATATTTGACAAACAAAACGTTACTTACGATAAGAATGATATCTAGATTCTCCTTGTGCGATAGTATGGAAATGTCATCAAGTGGATTTCCATTAACGAGCAAAAGATCTGCATAATATCCAGGCTGGACTTTTCCTAGCTCGTGGGGATGAAGCATTATTTCTCCACCAAGAGCCGTCGCAGAAAGAATGGCCTCCATTGGCGTGAAGTCAAGGAGGTTGACGAAGTGTTCCATGTCACGATATGTGCTACCGACGAGGGTAAGTAAGTTGACGATCACCCATGGTAAAGGTAAGCCTACCCATGTGGTGTCCGGGCAAATCTTGATAATCATCGTCATCAAAAGAATGGGATAGATGATGTACACCATGACTCACCCATAGTCTCCCCCAGGTAAAACCTGCAGGGAAGCCACGTATCAATAACAAAGGTCAAGGAATGCAAGGTGAACACCTACCTTAATACCCCTCTTTTTCATCTCCTTTAGTCCTGCAATTGCAACCTCGATCTCTCTAGCATATCCGTTGTACTCTGCCTTCGGTACAGGGTCTATGAGGAGGGACTTGAGTCAGCATATCCCAAATTCTATACAGGAAGTTACGAACACCCCATAGCCTCAGCTTCATGAATGGTAGCATAGGGAAAGTTGAGCGCAGGTGCAACGAAGATGCGATCCTTCTGCGCCTCTAGAGCATACATTGTAGAATCAGAGACAAACGCTATAGGATAGTATTATTAATTATGAAAATGCAGATAGGACCCATAACTCACATGCGTGGTAGATAATATCAATGCCATATTGCAAGCACTGAATGATCGACTCATCAGAACGCGCGTGAGAGCAAACACGGATGCCATTAGCATGAGCAGCCTACAAAATCACAAAACGCGTTCCATTAGTCGATGCTTAAACAGACAGCAAGATATGTACTAACCTCCACACCAGCTGCAACCATATCGTCAGGGAATGTGGTGTCTTCTGCTCTCAGATTCTCTAAGATTTCCTCGCCACTCATGGAGAACTTGACCTGCATCATATCCACAGTAAGATTACGATAGGCACATGCCATCGCGAAACACTCACCGAGTCGACACCTTCTTTTGCCATTTTGTCTACGGTTGCCACAATGTCATCTGGACAGTCAACGAACTTCGTGATCCCGGGGATGAGTGCGCCATCGGCAGGGGCCATCTAATAGACAATGAACATGATGAATAAAACAAGATGGATGGGACACATCACACTCGTCCAATCAATCAATATACTTACTTCTTGTCCATTAGCAAGAGAGCGTGGACCAGGAATTTCACCAGCATTGATTGCATTTCGGATGACCATGTCCAGGCGCTGTTTAGCAGACGCAGCACCCACTAGGTCCACAAATACGCACCTGAGCAAGGAAATTAGAAGCGAGGAAGAACAAAAGACGTACAACACATAGTATAACCACAGTCGAGGAACGTCCGAGCACTGCGAGCGGTGAATAATGTGTGTTCTTCGGTTTCCATTTCTGCAAGGCCATCCAGCGAATCGGCATTAGTCCAAGTGAAATGCGTGTGAGCGTCACCTAATGTGTCACATAGTAAGTATTCTATTATCACGAAGTTGATGACATGTGGGTTGCTAAAGTCAACTTACAGAGACCACTCATAAGAGTCCTGCCGTTCCCTTGATAAACCTTGGCGGTTTTTAATACCTCTGGCGATAGTTTATCGCCAACGCTAACGATACGTTTACCCCTGACTAATACATCTCCAGGGTAGGGTTCTCTGCCAGTCGAGTCCAGAATATTGACGTCAACAAACGCGATGACTGTGTTATCGCTGCCTGACGCAATTTCAAGGCTCGGAACTTTGATACGAGGATCAGGCTTTGTCTAATACAACATTATAATGGTAAGGTTAGAAGGTAGTATTAGGCTTGGGTCAGTGAACTACCAAGTTGATACCTCTAAACACGGGTCGGCGAGGGTCCCATGGCTCGCCCAAGCCATTGAGGTCAGGATGCTTGGGCGTTTGAGGAGCACTCTCGTGCAGCATCATCCTAGAGATACACAAGGTCAAGCTCGGAATACAATGGTATAGTTAACTGAAAGACGCACCAGCGTGGAGGCACCCATTTGCTTGTTGGAGGTGCAGCTGCTGGATCAAAACTACAGATACCATAAGGTCATTCATGATACATGCAACGAAAAGCCGATGTAATACTGACTTGAAGGCCGAATGAGGAACGACACGCTGAACATCAGTGGAAGCCATTGTGAGATTTAAAAAAATGAACTGAAGTGATTGGTGACACGCCGGAACAGCAAAATAAGTGAAGAAAGTTGTGGAAGGCGCATTATATAGGTGGAGTTACTTTCCATGGTGTGACGAAGGCGGAACAAGTGGAAAAAGTTTGCAGCGGGCTGCCTGATTAATGGTCACTCGTGATACGAAGGAGCAGGTGATCCACCAGTACTTACACATATCTTCGGAGTAGCTATCGTAACTCTCATACATTAAAAGATATTGAGGAGTAAATGCAAAGTCAATCATGAGAAAATGGAATCGGGCCTGAGCGCTTCGAATTGAACATCATGACCTTTCCGCGTGGAAATCAAAGGATAACCTATGAATACATCAGATTCCTGTTCCACTTCTGTAAAATCTACGTCACCTCGGCCCTTTTTTTAAACCTTGGCACTCTTAATCAGCTCACGAGCTGAGAAAGCTAGAAGAGAGCGAAACTACCCAGATCAGAACCACAACAACAATCATGTCCTTGGGGTACGCTTTCATGCTTTCAATTTGCCAATTGACAATCCAAGCTGACACACAGTTGTGCACCCTAGTAATATCTATCCTGATATCTTCCAGGTTACCCTCACAACTGGGCTGAAAGTCCACGTCGAGAAAGCTGGTACACAGAGCGAAAAACTTCCGATCGTGTTTGTGCACGGCCTTGGTGGCTCGTCGACGAATTACGGACCAGTTATTCAAACCTCTGGGTTAACCAGGGAGCGCGAAGTCATCACTTTTGATCTTGAGGGTCATGGATTGAGTCCTCTCTCAGGAGGAAATATCTCAATTGAAGGTTTCGCGGATTCCATTGCACTTATCTTGCAGAGTGCCAAAATCGATAAAGCAGTGATAGTGGGCCACTCTATGGGTGGGGTAAGCTGACATTCTGACTGCAAATCTTCCTTAGCTGAGAGTATATCCCTGTATAGATTATCGTGACAACACTAGCAGCCAAATATCCCGCTATAGTAGATAAATTGAGTAAGTGGCATATGGTATTGGTGACCAGCAGATCAAGTGACTCACAATGTTGTTAATAGTTCTCATTGGACCCGTCAAGGCCTTTCCAGAAGCTGGAGTGAAGGCTTTGACTGCCCGTGCCGCCTCCGTTCGGGAACAGGGGATGTCGGGCATTGCCGATACAGTTGTCGCCGCTGGCACCTCGCAGATAACGCAGTCATCTAGACCACTTGCTAAATATGCAGTGCGAGCATCGCTGCTCACGACTCCCGCAGAAGCATACGCTCTAGCTTGCCTGGCACTTACCAAAGCTGCCGATCCGGACTATTCTTTAATAACAATGCCCGTGCTTATTCTCGCTGGTACTGAAGACAAGACTTGCCCTGAGGCGACGGTGATTTTCTTATCGGAGAAGATGCCACAGGCAAAGGTAGTGACTTTTGAGAACGTGGGCCACTGGCACTTGTTTGAAGAGGTGGAAGGTGTTAGCAGGGAAATTGCAGCGTTTGCTTAATAGTTTCCTCTATACTACCATCCATGTGAGTAAAACAACGTTATAATTAGTATAGATGTGAAGATTCGAACAGTATGGGTTGAATGGATTCGTGGTTTGGCGCACAGTGCTAGAAAAAATCGAGTGAAATTAGATTCAACATCCTTTTAACGATAGTATAGATTTGATGAAGGGAAACCTTGCCTGAATCCAAAGAGCGATGTGCTGGACTCCTTCCAAGTGTCATCTTACATCTAGAAGATCGCCATGGATGTAGAAGCGAACCAACTCGTACGATAGACCGTTCGGTTGTACACAGTTCGCTTCACTGTGATTTGCTCTTTGAGTAATGCTAGCCATTGTTGACATCAAAACTCGGCGCAGAGTTCTTGTAAGAAAGACAGCGACTGATATGTCAAAGACTGTGACGATTCACTGACGAAGTTTTGGGACTCAACTTGAGATTTGGAAAAGCCAGCAATCATGGAATTTTCCGACTTTGCTGTATACCTCGCAAGTCGAACACACTACTTTAAACTGTTACAGCAAAACACACGTCCCAGTGAAAAAATTTCAGCAGGTGCATTATCCAAGTTCTAAAGAGCCACATCATTCACATTATTTACCCATACTGGTGACTTTCTCTTTCTAGCGTTCCTGCGTTGCTTCAAGTTTGTGAAGGTTATCTCACTATGAACCTCTACGACTGTAGAACGTTTAGAGGCCCAATCTACGTGTATCTATCTACGGTTCACTTGAATAGTTTCCCGCTGTGGTATGCATGTAGGGCTAACAGTTGCTTTGCCTAGGTCTGTTGTCAGATTCAATCGAGAGTTATCGCATCATAAACTGACGAACAATGCGATACCTTGTCAAAGCAGGATAGTTCACTTGTCCAATTGATTTTGGACGATAACACGATTCTGCGTTTGTCATTGTCATACTTGGTTTTATTGGTCGTTTATTTTTCATCCTTTCTTGGTCCTTGGGGCGAAGTCGTAGATTGAATATATCGACGAACATCTGTTCTCCCACCAACTGGGATTTGTGGCCATATTTCTCAACATAAATTGCGGGTCCTCATCAACATCGATGTCTCCCTCTGCCCGATGACTCAGTAGAGGGAAGGTCCTACCTTGTTCAGCGAGTGGCACTGTACTTTCCGATATAATCTGCGTTGAACGACAAAGCATGAAGCACGAAATGATACTGTCATTGCAAAGGCATGTAGATCTAAGCTCACAAAGTAGGCGAACTCAGAATCTTTCCTTCCCTTCTGTGAGTGGACGCTTTCTGAAGCTCGGTGGACCGCTAGGCTCTAATTTTGATTGTTCACATGTCTCTGCACACTGTCTCGCTATACATATGAAGCGACTAGTCCTCAAGTTGCTTTGCTTGTTGGCATTTTGCAGCCACTTAGCGTCGTCAAGCCACTCACCAGCGTATTTTGATCATTGTGTCCATCTTTGATCTGGCCACAGCGCATTGAAAGATGATTGCTTTGGCCACCAATATGGGATCCCCAAAAGTATATAACTGGCCACTTATCCCAATGGCTACCCCTGGACGGTGTTCACCCAAAGAGCGTCATACGATTCTTCGCCGCTCAAGGTAGTAGATTGGTGTATAATTTCTATTACCTACATTCCATAGGTTCGATACTACTGCTTCACCTCTCACAATAGTACTTCTGCCTACTCAACCTCATCCCTCCAGCGCCAGCCACCATCATGGAGCCGCCATTTTCGCATGTTAAAGCCAGCAAGTGCTTCTGCGGAAAGCCAACCTCCTCCAAACATGATTTCTTCTGTTCGCAAGCTTGTGCACGCGAAGACTCCATGAGGTCCTTGTTTACCCCTAACTCGCACTACCGCCAAGTTCACCACCACGCCGAGCAGAATGCTCCCCGAGCTTATCAGCCGCCCTTGGGCCTCGTGCCTTCTGGTGGCCTGTACCCCGTCACTCCACCTCAGCCCATTCCACGCTCCCATCGACCCCATCATGGACACAAGCGCTCCGAGGCAGCCGATATGCCTCCGCAAAGAAATTTCGAGATGATGATGCCACCCACACTATCCATGATCTGTGCCAGAGTGCAGGCCAAAAGGGAGGCGAAAGCGGTGGCTGGACCTCCTGGAAACGTGAGTACTCCCACTTCCAGAGGACCCTATCAAGGACCAGGCCATTCACACGTGCAACAGCAACGCAAATTCGTCCCTGTAGACCTTGACAAGGCCCTCCCTCAAACTCCCGATTCACCTGGTATGTTGAAGAAGGCGGGCCCTCCCGTTGGAGGTTTTCCCGTCGTTCGAAAATCCGCCTCCACAGTTTTCCATTCCAGTCATCAGGCTGCCACGCCTCCTCTGAATATCAGGAAGAGACCAGCTCGGGAGGATTATACAGGTGGAACTGCGAGCGCCGATCAGCGCGGTGTATTTGTCGACGTTGGGAATTCTCATTCGCAGGGGCCTTCGCACTCCAAAGTCCCTCGTCATGCCCATCATCATGATGTGCCCGTGACCTCCGCTCGACCCACTCACCACCGAGACCGTGCCGTCCGACGTTCCGTGTCGATGAATGGATGGAACCATCGTGGTGAACACTCACGTCAGGGCGAAGACTTGGTTGTCCGGGCCCTAAACGCAATGCGAGCGCCTTCCAACGATCGAGACCCTAGATCGTTTTTGGATTTCGATTCAGACGAGGACTAAATAGATACTGTTCCAGAGACTTCGCGATGTTCATGTTCATTATCTTTCCAAGTTCTTAGGGATAATTGGTTTTATCTTTTGTATGTCTATAAGGTTTTATGATCCGTTTTCTCTCATCCTCTAAGCTACAGCATCTCACGTGATATAATCTTCGGTATTCTTATGTATATTATAGCTCGTGAAATATACCAGTTTTTGAGGGTTTCGAGGTCGGGTTGAACTTGAGCGTGTTTTTTGCCTGTTCGCGTCTGATAAGTTTGCGAACGTTTGAATGATCTCAAATCGGTTCAAACCCTTGAAGATATGATCCGTTAGCAAATTCCCATTTCGGGGTAGATCCGTCATTACCTTGCCCGCCACTTTCCGCAAAAGCCCTGCGCCAGTGCGAATTAGCCCGTACCTCGAGGCCACCACGCCTACGCCGGGTCTATAAAGAGTTCTACCCCACCTTTATCTCGCCATTCTATCTTGTCTTTCCCCACAATGGCTTCGGACAGTGCCCTCACCCAGATATTAACACAGCTCAATGCACTCCAGGTCTCGCACCAGGCCTTGCAAGCCAAGGTATTAGTACTCTAAGCTCTATTCGTTGTCTCAGACCAACTGATGTGTACCCCACGTTTCTTCCAGTTGGATTTAATGTCAAACCCACCTAGTCCTCAATCGTCTCCACTGTCAAGGGGTTCCCCCATCCCAACTGGCCACCATTCTCCAAATGGTCAGAACCTCTTGTTATCCTCGTCGCCTCTGGCTAGCAAGTCGGTTCTTGCGCCTGCCGTCCCAACCATAGCGGCCTTATCAGAACACAAGGATGCTCCTAGCGATAAGGAAAGAGAGAAGCTCCTTTATCCTGGAAGAGTATTGCTCACCAGTAAGTCATGTCACCCCAGGGGGATGCAGACGGAGGCTTGCCACCAAAGAGGCGTTATGTTATCGTCTTCGATTTCCACGTTGTTGTATCATGTCTATACAAGTCATGCAATGTATCACGTATCACGGGTGAAAATAATTCCAGTTGTTGGGGGTGGCGTGAGCGGTAGTTCAGCTCGAAGTAACGCCAAAATCGTGAACTCTCCGTCTCCCATCTCTGTACTTTTTGCCTCCAACTACTCGTCGCTTACCACCACTTTACTTTCTAGCCTATCCCGACCAACATGGTTACAAGCCCTTTACTCTCAACTGGGGAGCACCTGACCCTTCCGTCCGTGGTCCAGTCATACCCTCTCGTCTGCCGTCTTCCATAAAGCAACGCAATGCGCTCGGTGCACATTCTGGTTCTTACTCGATCTATCGCGCGCTTGCGATTGCAATGGGAACTCTTTCCCCGTCGCACAAGCCCGATTATTCTCAAACGGAGCCTCCCGTCTCCATCCCACCACAGCCCGCATGGGCCGATCCACACAAGATCGTCTCTTTCGATCCTTGGGGACATCTTGTACCTCAGGTATTCCGAAAGGAGGTCGAGGAGCTTGGATTGGATGTCAGACCCAGCATCGCCGTCACCCGTGCTCACATGAAGATGAGTGAGATCGATGATGCAGCAAGGAAGGGGGATATCACGATTGATGGGAAGGTTGTGCTCAAGAGTCGTCCGTTGATGAACCCAGATGGAACTGTGAGCGATTTAGACCCTGGCGTTGAGGTCAATATAAGCAAAGCAGCTGTCGAACCTGTCTGGTATCTGCCCGGCGTTGCAGAACGCTTTGGCATGTTAGTATTCCTGTTTATTTTCGAAGTGGCGCATGCTGATGACGGTAACACAGTTCGGAAAACCTTCTTCGCCGTGCCTTGTTTGAAGATACTGGAGGAATGTACCCCGAACTCATCACTCGTCCTGATATCAAGGTCTTCCTACCTCCTATTGGGGGTTTGACTGTATACATTTGTAAGTCATACCTCGCGCCTCCTCATAGCACTCACTGATCAATCACTATCTACCAGTCGGTAATCCGGCCTTACTGTCAGACGAGTCCAAAGAATTGACCCTTCGTGTCCACGACGAATGTAAGCTTATCCATGCTGCCCATAATACTGTTTACTAAGTTGCTCGACTTCGATCCACCCAGGTAATGGATCCGACGTATTCGGCTCTGACATCTGCACCTGCAAGCCTTATCTCACCTTTGCTATCGAAGAATGCTGCCGATGCGCTCAACGAGGCGGTGTGGGCGTAGTCGTTTACTTCCGCAAGGAAGGCCGTGCACTCGGCGAAGTTACCAAGTACGTCTCTGCTCCAACGCTCGCTAATTATAACGTATTCTCATCCTACGTCAGGTATCTCGTGTACAATCTTCGTAAGCGCGGTGGGGACAGTGCCGATAAGTACTTCAAATCCACCGAGCTCATCGCAGGAGTGAAGGATATGCGTTTCCAGGCATTGATGCCGGACGTCCTTCACTGGCTTGGCATTAAGAAGATCGATAACATGGTTTCAATGAGCGACATGTTCGTCCTTCTCCCTTCTCATTTCGAATGATTGACTGATGTGCGTCCGCCAGGAAATATGATGCAATTGTGCAATCTGGAATTCCCATCCTTAAGCGTTATGATATCCCGGGTACGTTCCCCAATCAATTCCCAATGGTTTTATCTTACCCCACTTTTTCCCGCAGAGCACCTCATCCCCCCTGATTCGCGTGTCGAAATAGATGCTAAGATTGCTGCAGGGTACTTCACCAGCGGGAAACAGATCACTCAAGCCGACTTGATCAAAACCGTAGGCAGGACCTGGGAAGAGACTGAGCACTAGAATGGAATGAGTGGAAGATATCATCCCTGTTGTTACTCGCTGTATACAATATGTATGTTTTCTCTGTTTGGTGTACTAGATACTACCCTCTATAGCCCATGATACAATGTATTGTATGTAATCTGGAATGAATCATATCAGTAGAGCCTGGTGTAGACTGATATGAATTTTCACCTGAGAAAACAAGTCTCAGTCTAGTATCAAAAGACTGTATTATTGAACTAGAAAATGGCCGAGCTGCGCCGGCAGTCACCTTGTTTTGTTGAATTTGGTTATAGGAGCAGTTTACAAACATAGATTTATTTCAAAAAATTGAAGGTTACAATCATTCCAGTAGAGAAGGAATTTGGAGGAGTACATGTAACTGTTTGGTATAAAAGTAATGTTACAGAATGATATTGAACAAAATTTTTATTTTTGTGTCCTTTTGAAAATTGATTAGTGTGATGCGGCATGAAAGTTATGAGATGATATCATACTATAGTGGTAGAATTTTAGTCAGAACGCAACACTTTTTTTGCCTTTTTCTGGCTTCTCACTCGGGGGGTGAGGAAGCATTGTTTGATTTTTAGGGGGCTTGATGGTGCAGAATGAGGTGGAGATAGGACAATGATTTCACAGAGCTGAGCTGTAGTTGTCAACAAATTTTTGGATTTGATATTCCTGGTACCGTCAGGTTACCAGGTTTCAATCGTCAAAATGAATGTCCGTCTCTTCTTTTACTGGACCGTAATCCGATTTGCGTAAATTTGGCCTTGCGTTCCGATCTGTTCCTATAACGACTGAGCTGCACTACTGGAAGAAACCAGGCAGACCCAATGTCAATCTCAAGCAGGTAGTTGAACAGGTTGTATAAAGACTAAATCAAAAGCTAAGGTATGTACATCGTTGAGTGTCTACTTATATATGTAAGAACTCATGTCAGCCATGAGGCGCTGACTGATAGACATGAGGATGTAACGTGTAGCTTGGTAAGATGATTTGTAAGTAATCACATGACTTGATGTCACGTGATGAGATTAGATATAGATAAAGGGAAGCTATGTGATAAGATAAGGAGAGATAAGAGTCTCGACATCTGAGTTTGAGAGGAAAGGTGAAGTTTCAGGTGTAAGAGAAAGAGATCGTGACATTACCCCCCCTTTAGGACTTTCGTCCAGAAAGGTTGGTTCTAATTTGCCGTTTTCCCAATTGAATATGTTGTGATTGTGAGATGGTTTAGTGAAGTTTTCGAACATTTTGTAACAAAGTAAGATATTTATTCGGCGTGGAGCGGATGGGAAATGATTGTGGAAGTCTTTGACTAATTCTGGCGAGTTTTTGACATTTCGCTCAGGTTCCCATGTTCATTCTTCTTTTCCGTATCCTTTCCAGTGTACCAAATATTCTAACTTGTCACGTTTCAATTGTGAGTCAAGTATTTGTTCCACTTCGTATTCTCTTTGTCCGTCAACTTCTGCAGGAGGTGGAGGTTTAGGTTTTTGTTGTCCCGAAAAGGTCGGTTCTTTATAAGGGTGTAGGATTTTTTCATTGAATACCAGGTATACATTTTTCCATTTTCCGGGTAGTTTTAATTTGTAAGCTGCCGGACCGGTTTTCTTTTCGACTACGAATGGTCCGTGTCGTTTATCATCCAACTTCTTTGATGGCCGATCCGTTGTGATATGTTCGGCTTCTACGTAAACCTTATCTCCTGGTTCATACTCAAGACTTTCCCTTTTTGTCTTATCGTATGATTTTTTCATAATCTCAGCTGCCTTTGCTAGAGATTTCTCTGCTTCTTCTCTCGTTTCTTTCATCCTCTCTACAAACTCCTCCGCACTCTCACTTTTTACTCCTTTTCTGACTCCTTCTACCGTCTTTGGATGTTGTCCGTTGTTTAAATAAAAAGGACTAAAGCCAGTAGCTGAGTGTTCTTTATTATTATAGGAGAATTCTGCTAGTGGTAGCCAGTCTGCCCAATCATCCTGCTTATGGTTAACAAAGATTCTGAGATATTGTTCTATCTCTTGGTTGATTCTCTCTGTCTGGCCATTGGTTTGTGGGTGATAAGCAGTAGATGGGTTTCCTTTTATACCTAGCATTGTATAGAGATCTTTCATGAAGTTCGAGATGAACTGTACTCCTCGGTCTGATATGATCTTATCAGGTAGTCCATGGAGTTTGAAAATGTTGTCTCTAAATAATCTCGCTACTCCTTCTGAATTCAGCTCAGCATGAGTCGGCATGATCCTGATCATTCTTGAGAATCGATCTATGACCACCATAATGGTATTATACCCTTTCGATTCTGGTAGCGGTCCAATAAGATCCATTGATATGATTTGCCAGGGGCGGCTTGGGATCTCATTCGGGTGTAACGGTGCGGCTTTTTTCTGATGATCTGTTTTTGTACGTTGGCATGTTTCGCAACCGGTTACGTATTCTTGGATGTTTTTATCCATATATGGCCACCAATACGATCGGGTAATTAATTCCTTTGTTTTATACCGGCCTGGGTGGCCAGCTATTGGGGAATCGTGGTTGTCTCTCATGATCGTTTCTCTGAGCTTTCGGTCCTTTGGGACATACATGCGACCTTTGAAGTAAATGAGTCCTTCATCGGTCCACCAGCCGTCTTGGCGGTTGTCTATTTTGTCCTTGACCTTTTCAATGAGTTCGTCAACGTTTTTCATCCTTTTATGAATCCATCTTGTGATCTCTATATTTTTGGCATCGTCAATTGCTATCTGTTGCCTTTTTTCGTGTGATAGAGTCATATTGATAGAGAATAGTTCTGGTTTCAATAGGGTAACATTTTCGTTGTCATTCTTTCCCTCATCATGGTCTGGTCGTCTGGAGAGTAAATCGGCTTTGATATGAGTAGCTCCTGGCTTATGGTGTAATGTGAAATGATAGTTGGCCAGTTCGCTAACCCATCTCGCTTGCCGTCTATTGAGCTTCTGAGGTTGTTTGAAATATGTCAAGTTCTGGTGATCTGTCCAGATCTCGAACTCTTTCGTGGCATCCATCAGGTAGTGATGCCATTCCTCTAAAGCTGTCATAATGGCCAATAGTTCTTTATCGTATATCTCATAGTTTCTTTCGGTCGGGTTTAGAGATTTTGATAAATAAGCAATTGGTTTCCAGACTCAGACTCCATTCTGTTCTTGAGAGAGTACTGCTCCTAGAGCATAATCACTACTATCCGCTTCTACTCGGTATTGACCGTCATTGGTCGGGAGTGCTAATACGGGGGTTGAACTGATTTTCTTTTTAATATCTTTGAATGCTTCTTTTTGTTCTTTACCCCATATGAACTCTTCTTTACCGGTTAGTTTAGTAAGCGGTTTCGCTATTGATCCGAATCCTTCGATAAATCTCCTATAAAAGTTTACGAATCCTAAAAAGGCTTGTACTTGTTTCTTTGTTGTACATTCCGGCCAATCTAGAATTCCTTTTACTTTCACCGGGTCCATGCGGATTTTGTTTTCTGAGATGATTAGTCCCAGATATTCTGTTTCTGTTTCTTCGAAATCACATTTTTCCGGTTTTAGATATAGGTGATGTTCTCTAAGGATTTGAAGTACACGTCGCGTCATTGCTTGGTGTTCTTCAATTGTCTTTGTGGAGATCATGATATCGTCTAGGTAGATCACTACTTTTCCTTCATCGATTAGGTCTTTGAATATTGAATTCATCATAGTTTGGAAAGTTGCTGGAGAATTCGTCAATCCAAAGAACATAACTAACGGTTCGAACAAGCCGCGATTGGTTCTAAAGGCAGCTTTATGTTCGTCTCCTTCCTTGATCCGAATGTTATTGTATCCCCATCTGATATCCAATTTTGTGAAGTACTTGGCGCCTCTGAGCTTGTCTACAAGTTCATTAATCAGAGGTAGTGGATATCTGTTTTTGATGGTGATTTTGTTTAACTTTCGATAATCTTGTACAGGTTGGAGTTTACCGTCTTTCTTTTTGATAAAGAAGAAAGGAGAGGCAATCGGAGATTTACTGGGTCTGATGCGTCCTGAATCTAAATTCTCTTTTAGGAATGCATCTAACTGTTCTTGTTCTCCTAATGCTAAAGGATAAACTTTACAGTCTATCGTGTGATCACCTGGTATTAACTCGATAGCATGGTCCCATTGTCTTTTCTCGGGAAGGGCATCGAATTCCTTTTTATCAAAGACATCTTTGAAGTCATGAAGGTGTTTTGGTACTATTCCTTCAAAACCTCCTGTTTTCTGATCTTTTCCTGCTGCTTCGGCAAGTTGTTGGGCTGTTGTGCCGTGAGTGCGGATATAATGCATTACGTCAGGAATGGATGTGTCTTTGATATTTAAGAAATTGAATTGGATGATTCTATCCCCCTCTTTGAGATTGACCTCAGGGCAATACGTTTCAAGATCTTCTTCCGGATCGAAAAATCTTATCATCATGTTGCAGTCTGATGGACATCTGTTGAAGTCTAAATTCGATGAGTTCCAGTCTATTGTGGGATTGTGCTTTTTTAACCATTTGTGGCCTAAGAACATCCTACTGGTTCCAAGGTTGGTAACCGCCAGTTGGAGTCTTTCGGCATGGTCATTAATCTCCACTAATAGTTCTACGAATTCTTTAATACTGCCATCTCGGTTAAGAGTGCCGTCAGCATTATAGACTGGAATCGGTCTAGGGATCCTTTGCCTTTCGTATCCCTGTTCTTCAACAAATTTGTTGTCTATGCAACTTCCGGTACAGCCGCTGTCTAGTAGTGCTTCAATCGTTGTAGATTGATGCGACGCGAGGTTTGTCAGTCTGCAGGTGATATTCATTTGGTTTCCCTGAGTGCCACAAATAAACTGTTTGGGCTTTCTCAGTTCTTCCAATGCTAATACCGTTTCGTGAATTGGTAAAGTGTTTAGTTCTTTTATCAGATCTGCATTGACTTCTAGTCCTTGTTCCTTATGGGTCCAGCTATTTAGGATACCAATAGATCTTTCTTCCTTTTGGTCCCTGAGCCTTTCCGCTATCCAGTCAGCTGTCCATGGTGTTTTTAGATCTTTCTTTTTATCTAGGTTTTTATCAGAGGTGTTCCTGACCTCTTTGGAGCGAGTCGAAGCATCAGTTTCGGTTATGCTACCCAATTGAGTCATAACATTCTGTGTTTCAGTTGTCTCCTTTGTAATTGCTGCGCTTC